CCAATCTATGGGAACACACGTAATCCTGGGAGGGCCAATCTATAGGAATACACGTAAAAACATACGAATTCGTGCCCCTGGATGGGGGGCCAATCTATAGGTAATGAGAGGGCCCATATGTAGGAATATACGTATAACGCACGGATTCGTGCCCCTGGTGAGGGCCACTTTATGACACACACGTATTCCTGGGGAGGGCAAATCTAGAGGAATATACGTAAAAACACACGTATTCGTGCCCCTGGAGAGTGCCAATCTACAAGCAATGAGAGGGCCCATCTATAGGATCACAAGTAACATGATCGACCCACAAGCCCGGAAAGGAATCTAGAAATGTAACGCATGGCAACGTTTTCAAAGACACTTGATTGGGTGACGGGCAAGTGCAATGCTGATTGTATCGATCTTGATGTACCGTGCCGAGCGCTGTGCTGTGCTGCACCGTGCTGAATTGCGATGTGCCATGCCGAGGTTGTGCTCTATAGCGTCGTGGATCGAGTCTTCCTTTGCATCCGAGTCCTGACCGAACTGATCTGGATCTTAAGCTCGAGCTGCCTGAACACATAGTAGCTGCCCCAGAGCTAATTGACAGGGGGACATGCCAGGAAGACGCGACGCGAAACGTCCCAAGGGACGCGCCAGGCGACGTGCCAAGGGACGTGCCATGGGGTCGCACCGTAGGACGTGCCAAGGGGACGCGCTACGGGACACCCTCAAAATTCCTGCGCGCGGGACGTGGCACGCGCGAGACATCCCCGGAATTCCTGCGAGCGGGACGTGAAAGCAAACATTTCGCCTGAGACGTCCTGTGAATTCTGGCCCCCCACGAGGCCCCCGCTCGAGACATCCCCCAAGTTTGCAAAACCAGCGTTTCGCTCGAGACATCCTCAACTAATTATGATAAACAAGCGTTTCGCTCGAGACATCCGGTCAAAATCCAAGGACATCCTGGCAAAACAAACGAATTAGTCGAGACATCCTCAAAATTCCTCCGCGCGGGACGCGGCACGCGCGAGACATCCTTGGAATTCCTGCGAGCGGGACACGAAAACAAGCATTTCGCCTGAGACATCCTCTGAATTCTGGCCCCCCACGAAGCCTCCGCTCGAGAAGTCCACAAATTTTGCAAAACCAGCGTTTCCCTCGAGACGTCCTCAACAAACTATGTAAACATGATCGACCCACGAACCCGGAAAGGAATATAGAAATATAACGCATGGCAGCGATTTCAAAGACACCTGATTGGGTGACGGGCAAATGCAATGCTGATTGTATCGATCTTGATGTACCGTGCCGAGGGCTGTGCTGTGCTACACCGTGCTGAATTGCGCGCCACGCGACGTGCCAGGGGGACTCGCCAAGGGACGCCCCACGGAACGTGCCAAGGAACGTGCCAAGTTGCAATGCTGATTGTATCGATCTTGATGTATCGTGCCGAAGTCTGTGCTGTGCTGCACCGTGCTGAATTGCGATGTGCCATGCCGCGGTTGTGCTCTATAGCGTCGTGGATCGAGTCCTCCTTTGCATCCGAGTCCTGACCGAACTGATCTGGATCTTACAGTAAGCTCGAGCTGCCTGAACACATAGTATCTGCCGCAGAGCTAATTGACAAGGGGACATGCCAGGAGGACGCACCGCGGAACGTCTCAAGGGACGCGCCAGGCGACATGTCAGGGGACGTGCCATGGGGACGCACAGCGGGACGTGCCAAGGGCACGCGCTACGGAACGTGCTGGGGACAAGCGTTTCGCTCGAGACATCCTGTCAAAATCCTCATTCTAGACATCCGCCTAAGCGACCTGGACACGTGAAAACAAACGTTTCGCTCAACACATCCTCAACACATTCTCATGCTAGACATCCGCCTGGGCGAACTGGACACGTGAAAACAAGTAGTTCGCTCGAGACATCCTCAACACATCTTCATGTGAGACGTCCGCCTGGGTGACCTGGGCACGTGAAAACAAGCGTTTCGCTCGAGACGTTTTCAACACCTCCTCATTCTAGACATCCGCCTTGGCGACCTGTACACGTGAAAGCAAACGTCTCGCTCGAGACATCCTCAACACATCTTCATGTTAGACATCCGTCTGGGCGACCTGGACACGTGAAACAAGCGTATCTCTCGAGACATTCTCAACACATCCTCATGCTAGGCATCCGCCTGGGCAACCTGGACACGTGCAAAAAAGCATCTCGATCGAGACTTCCTCAACACCTCCTCATTCTAGACATCAGCCTGGGCGACGAGGACGCGTGAAACCAAGCGTCTCGCTCGAGACATCCTCAACAAATCCTGGCGCTTGACCTCTGCCTGGGCAACCTGGAGGCGTGAAACCAAGCGTCTCGCTCGAGACATCCTCAAGACCTGGGCACGTGAAACCAAGCATTTCACTCCAGGAGAAGACAATCTATAACACAAAACAAGCGTTTCGCTCGAGACATCCTCAACAAATTCTGAAAAACAAGCGTTTCGCTAGGGACATCCTCAAATATTAATTCGCCGGCCCTACGCGACCTCATTATTTATCGCAAAATAATTTCGCCGGCCCAAGTCGCAGGGGGGCCGGGGGGTTAACCTACTAAAAGAGAACCCTGGGCCCGCGCCCTTTCCGGGAAAAAACGTTTCGCTCGAGGCATCCTGACAAAATTCTAAGAAATCCTGACAAAACAAGCACATTAGTCGAGACATCCTGCGAAAATCCGGGGGCAAACCCACTAAAAAAGAACCCTGGGCCTATGCCCTTTCCGGGAAAAACACACGGTCTCGTCCCCCTGGAGAGGGCCGATCTTGAGGCCCCTCGAGAAAGCAAATCTATAGGAATATGCAAAAACACAAGGATTCGTGCCCCTGGAGAGAGCCAGTCTATGGGAGCACACGTAATCCAGGGGAGGGCAAATCTATAGGAGCTTATGAAAAAACGCACGGATTCGTGCCCCTGGAGAGGGCCAATCTATAAGCAATGAGAGGGCCCATCTCTAGGAACATACATAACATGATCGACCCACGAACCCGGAAAGGAATATAGAACTGTAACACATGGCAGCGTTTTCAAAGACACCTGATTGGGTGACGGGCAAATGCAATGCTGAGTGTATCGATCTTGATGTACCCTGCCAAGGGCTGTGCTGTGCTGCGCCGTGCTGAATTGCGATGTGCCATGGCGCGACTGCGCTCTATAGCGTCGTGGATCGAGTCCTCCTTTGCATCCGAGTTCTGACCGAACTGATCTGGATCTTAAGCTCGAGCTGCCTGAACACATAGTAGCTGCCCCAGAGCTAATGGACAGGGGAACATGCCAGGAGGACGCGCCGCGAAACGTCCCAAGGGATGCGCCAGGCGACGTGCCAGGGGACGCGCCATGGGGTCGCACCGTAGGACGTGCCAAAGGGACGCGCTACGGAACGTGCCAATGGATGTGCCACGGAATGTGCCAGGGGACGCGCCACGCGACGTGCCAGGGGGACTCGCCAAGGGACGCCCCACGGAACGTGCCAAGGAACGTGCCAAGTTGCAATGCTGAGTGTATCGATCTTGATGTACCCTGCCGAGGGCTGTGCTGTGCTGCACCGTGCTGAATTGCGATGTGCCATGCCGCGTTGTGCTCTATAGCGTCGTGGATCGAGTCCTCCTTTGCATCCGAGTCCTGACCGAACTGATCTGGATCTTAAGCTCGAGCTGCCTGAACACATAGTAGCTGCCCCAGAGCTAATTGACAAGGGGAACATGCCAGGAGGACGCGCCGCGAAACGTCCCAAGGGATGCGCCAGGCGACGTGCCAGGGGACGTGCCATGGGGTCGCAACGCGGGACGTGCCAAGGGGACGCGCTACTGAACGTGCTAGGGACAAGCGTTTCGCTCGAGACATCCTATCACAATCATCCGAATTCCTACGCGCAGGACGCGGCACGCGCGAGACATCCTCGGAATTCCTGCGAGCGGGACACGAAAACAAGCATTGCGCCTGAGATATCCTCTGAATTCTGGCCCCCCACGAGGCCCCCGCTCGAGACATCCCCCAATTTTGCAAAACCAGCGTTTCGCTCGAGACATCCTCAACAAATTATGAAAAACAAGCGTTTCGCTTGAGAAATCCTGTCAAAACCCAAAGAAATCAAAATTCCTGCGTGCGGGACGCGGCACGCGCGAGACATCCTCGGAATTCCTGCGCGAGGAGCGCTTTTCCGTGTCGCGGTCGGCTCTGCAAAACCAGCGTTTCGCTCGAGACATCCTCAACAAATTCTGAAACCAAGCGTTTCGCTCGAGACATCCCCAACTCTGCAAAACCAGCGTTTCGCTCGAGACATCCTCAACAAATTCTGAAAAACAAGCGTTTCGCTCGAGACATCCTCAAACATAGTTTTGCCGGCCCTACTCCGTGCGTGCCCGCTCGCAAAATAATTTCGCCGGCCCAAGTCGCAGGGGGGCCGGGGGGTTAACCAACTAAAAGAGAACCCTGGGCCCACGCCCTTTCCGGGAAAAACACACAGATGCGTGCCTCTGGATGGGGCTAATCTATAGGAACATACGTAATCCGTGCCCCTGACCAAAACGTGTCCCGCACCCTGTGACTTATCGATCGCGATGTCAAAAACAAGCGTTTCGCTAGGGACATCCTGAAATTTTAATTCGCCAGCCCTCTTCCCACTTGATATTTATCGCAAAACAAAACCGCCGGCCCTCTTCCCGTCAAAACCGGGGGGAAACCTCTAAAAGAGAACCCTGGGTCTGACGCCCTTTCCGGGAAAAGCAGGGGGCGGTGGTGATTCGGAGTATGCGTCGTTGACAATGAGATGTCTGTCACAGGCCACATGGAGAGAACCACTGTCATTCAATCCCCAACTGTAGACATCAATCCCGCCCCTGAATGCGAAGACCAGCGCCGTCCAACGATGTGGCATCACAACTCGGAGCTGATGTAATCCAGACGTTGCAGGGAATCGAAATCGGCTACGTACCAGTGTGCGTGCACGTTCTGCCAAAGAGAACATATAATATTCTACAGTCTCGATAAAAAGCTCGCCTTGACGGGTCTGAACAGACGCTGGTTGACTGCGCTTACCAATTCGGTCAACGCATCTTTCATGTCGTACCGCAAATCGTTGTCAGCATTCGTACGCTCGGCATCCTCTGCCTTAATCAGAGACACGAGCTCTTGGCGCAACGTGCCAAGGGCATTGACATGCTCCGTGTCCTTCGACCCGATGAGGCTCTTTAACTCCTGGTCCATGCTGCTGAGGGCAGAGGCATGCTTGGTCTTAGGCCAGCGGGTGCGGTCCAATGATTGAGAGCCCCTGTGAATTCACAAACATGAAGGCAATGACACGCAGAAGCCTGGGAGTCTCCCGAGCCCTGCAGATTTCTCGGTAGCCCTTAGAAAATGTCCAAAGCGCAGAGAACAGAGTGATCCTCGATCCCCTCATTCCTCCAGATCCTCCATCCTCGATCCCGGGGGTCCTTCCCAGCCAGAGTTTCAAGAACGTTTCCGAGGCAACCCCAACGCTCAGCAGTAGCCCTCTCGACACCAGGCACCTTCGTAGACTGTCGCCCCTCCAACGGACAGAGAGCAGAGCAAGCGTGTCACAAGAAAACGCCATGTCACCAGAGAGCGCCAACAAATATCAATCCCCATGGTGGCAAACACGATGGGCAAAATCCGATCACACAACTTCGAGATAAACCCAATCTTGCCCAATGTGGCCCCAAGATGAACGGCCATGGCCCCCCACGCTGTTCCAACATAGCGACAAAATGGCCTGTGGGACCAGCGGCCGGCAAGTGGCGCAGCACTTCAGATATGTGAGAGAGCGTGATCCACCGCCGCGTTACTGCGGAAAATTGCCAACCTTTTCCTCCGGAGCCCGGGGTCTCTCCCCCCCCCCCCCCCCCCCCCCCCCCCCCCCCCTGCTGGAACCCCCCCCCCCTCCCCCGGCAAACCCCCCCCTCCCCTAACCCCTCCCCCCCTTCCCCCCCTTCCCCTCGAAAACCGGGGGGGGTCACTACCGGTTCGAACCCCTCCCCCCCCTCTGGATCCGAAAACCGGGGGGGGTCACTACCGGTTGGGACCCCCCCCCCCTCGAAAACCGGAGGGGGGTCACTACCGGTTCGAACCCCCCCCCCCCCGCACCGCCAGCAAACGACTCCCCGTCCCTACCACCGCTCGCATCACATCCCCCACTGTTGTTCCCAACACCACTGTCCTCACCACCACTGTCCCCACTGGTTCCACCACCGTCCCTATTGTCCCCACCAGTGCCCCCACCACTGTCGCACTGTCCCCACTGTTCCCACCACTGTTCCCACCACGGTTCCACTCTCCCCACTGTCTCCACGGACCCAACCACTGCCTATCCCCACTGTCCCCACTGTCCCACTGACTCCTCCGCTGTCCCACTGAGCTGTCCCACTGTTCCCACCACTGTCCCCACTGTCCCCACCACTGTCCCCACTGTACCTCTGTCCCATTGTCCCACCGCCGTCCTCGCCACCGCCTTTACCACTGTCCCCACCACCATTGTACCCTCCACTGTCCCACTGTTTCCACCTCATTCCCACTGTCCCCACACCACTGTCCCCACCACCACCGTCCCCACCACTGTCCACTGTCCCCCCTGTTCCCACCATTGTCCCCACCACTGTCCCCACCACTGTACCCACCACTGTCCCACTGTCCCACTGTCCCCACCACTGTCCCGCTGTCCCCTCACCACTGTCCCCACCAACACCGTCCCCACCACTGTCCGCACCCCCACTCGGTTTTCGAGGGGGGGGGGGTTCGCCGGTAGTGACCCCCCCCCCTTTTCATGATGAACTGGGGGGGGTGGGGTTCGAACCGGTAGTGACCCCCCCCGGTTTTCCGGAGGGGGGGGGGGGAGGGGTTCGAACCAGTAGTGACCCCCCCCGGTTTTCCGCCAGCAGCGGTAGAACACGCTCTTTCAGATATGTCAGACAGCGCTGGCTCCGAACAAGGGATAGTGGAGTTTACCGGCAAGACCCCGTCGAACTCCATTAGCCTCCGTTGGACTACATTGTCTGCGTTGGACTCCAGTGGGTTTCACTCGGTTGCACTGGACGGCCCTACGACCCATTAGAATCCACGTGTCACCTTTTCAATTCCAGGTGGTTCCATTGGACTCCGTTGGAATCAGTATGTTCAATGGACCCCATCGGACTCCATTTGGAAACCCGTACGGGCCAATGTGTGCTCATATGGGCCCGATGGGGTACAAAACGATACCTCCTGCGGGGGGCCATGCAAGATTTTCAGCTGAAAGCAAACTGGTACGTCCTGCGCGGGGCAACACGATACCCCCTGCGGGGGACAATGCAATACCCCCAGCAGGCGACAAACCAATACCACTGCGGGGACGAACCGCATTGGGTTCCATTGGTCCACGCTGGACTCCACTCGACTCTATACTGGACCCCAGTGCCATGAAAACGTACCCGTGGAATTCATTGCCATACCTCCGAAGTCCATTGGGATACCCAAATGCCATGGCCAACGATCCACCATTGCCGCACCCAAATAATGCGTTCATGGTGCCCAGGAGATGCCCAAAAAATCCATGGCCATACCCAAGTCTCGCGAAGGCTAACTTGAAGAAGGGCCCCGACCCGCTTCAAGTGTTTACTTGGTTGGGACTCCTCAAGCAAACCAAGTGGATAATCAATCCCACTGGCAGGAATGGTCAACACCAACTCGGCTTTTGAGATCGGATCGGAACGGGCATCGACGGACTCGGAATCGAATCGAATCGGCCCAGTCCGGAATTGTGCAAGTATGCGCCTCCAGAGGTACGGAAGTGTGGACTTAAATATATAGAGGTGTAGACCGTCGCGATGTCGCAAATCCAATCTCTGGAGGCGTCAATATCTAGGGCCAAACACGTCAGACATCTCAGCCTTGACTTCCAGGAAACATCCGCACCCACAACTGTTCGAATCATGCCCTGGAGCCCTGGGGAACGGCTGATGTGGATGCTCTCCGACCCTCTGAGGCGACCATTGGATTCCAACATGGGTATGCTACTATAGAGAAGGTGATGAAAGAAACGTTGGAACACATATTATGCCCATGTGTGCATATGCGGCCTGGCAAAGCGATGCGGCATCAGCGCGACGCCAAGGAGCGTCGTGGACTCGAGCTTTCGCCCTGGAAACACGCCGCGCACGACTACCCATACCAGGAAGTCATGCAGCCGGTCGCTGTGTTCTGGGGGGGTGCACGGACACGCAAAAAACCAATCAGGTCACCGTTAGCCGGCGCCCGCTTCGTCCTCATGCCCCGGTTCCCGTCTCCTCCCAATTTCCGTTCGCCTTGGCCCCACCCTCCTTGTGCCACTCCCACAATCCCCCGTTCCCATCATGCCCCTCATCCACACTGTCCCCCCCATCTGCCAGTTCATGTCGTTCCTCGTCGTCCCCCTTCCGCCGGATGAGTCCCCCATCGTCCACATGCACGCCCCCCTCCCATCCTCTACGCCCTAATGCAAATCATCCCCCCGCCTCCTGCCCCTCCCCGACCCCCTCGTCTTCGCGATGCTGACACCGATGATGCAGCTCGTCCTGGGGCCATGTCCCCTCCTCTCGTCCTGTCCTCTCCATCCCCGACCCCTTCGCCACCCCTCCTACCGAACCCCTTTCCCCTCCATAGCCCACCATCCCCACCACTCCGCGCGCTTTGCGTTCCCAGACCACGGCCCCCTCCTGGACCAGCCGGGAGATCCGCGGAACCTCCCGCCCAATGACCACTCCAGCGAGCGGCGGGCAACACATGCACAGTTGGAGACACGAGCTGTGCATCTCGAGCGCGCGAAGCGCCCCCCATGGACCAGCCGACAGAAAAACATGAAAGTTCCCGCCCAATCAACACCACCCGCGAGGGGCACACTCCGAATACACAGGTGGGAACAAAATCTGTGCACACGGATCACACAAGGATCTGTGTAAACAGTGGAACCCTGCACAAACATCCGCAGTTGAAAACACCAGTTGTGTACACAAATCACACCTTGATCTGTGTATTTCGAAAAAGGTAAACGCTCGTCACCTCGAGGGTACCTCGACGTTGCCAACCCAGAACCGCGGTCGACATGCCCAGCTAAGGGATGGTGCAAATACACACTTCCAAAGCCCAGTGCGCCCCCGAGGGAACTGCAAATACGCGCTTCCCTGGCCCAAGGCGGCCGCGGTGAAATGCGGCGCCAAAGCGGCCCCCCAACGGCCCGAAAACGTTCCAAAAGGGCACCGAACGACCCGAAGAAGGCCGCGCAGCAGTCAGAGAAGACGAGAGGTGCCACATGTCACGGACCTCTTAACAGTCAAGGCGCCACGCGTCGCCATACAGACCGCTGCGCTGGCATGGGGACGGACCTTGCCGCAGGCACCTATGCATTTATATGTTACCGATGCGACTGTACTTGGCGGCCGTGCCGCCCGCGTTTGGATTGCGCCTCGAGCGCTCGCATTGATTGGCAATTCCCTCTGTTTGGTTACGTCGCTGTGCTCGGATATCGAAGAAGCGGCATGCAGCTGATACGGGCACGCGGCACCAGGGCCTGCACTTCCCTTCTTCAAACAAAGAAGGAAAACGAGGTAGGACGACGTGCGGCAAGCAGGCAAATGGGCGAATAGGAACGAGGAATAATGGGGGAGGGTGAAAGGGGCGCTCTCTCGCCCGAGCCGCGGACGCTTTCGACACCATCCAGGGGGGGGGAGAAAGGAGGGGGACGGAGCAAGGAAGAGGACCACGCTGAGAAGCAAACTGTCCTCGCTCCGCATATAGCCATATGCTTGCGATTCGGGCGCTTCTTCGAGGAACTTCAAGCCCGACCCATACTGAATGCACGAATTCCTCCAAACTGTGTAAACACTCTGACCTCCCTACCTTCTCCTATACAACTGCCTCAGAACAGAAAGGCAGTGGATTCCAAGGCGGGCATGTGATCCGGATCTACCTCCTCGACGAGGTCCTCGCGATCCTGGAGCGCGACTCTGACGGCAGACCCAGGTACGCACTGGCTCAGAGTGAGGCTCCGGAGCCTTTGCACACATACAGTGAACGACATGCCCAAAGAGACGCTCAATGACTCAGTCTCAGGCGCTAAATCCTTACCTCGATTGCGCGAACTAGAAAAAGGAACATCGGCATACACGCCAACTTTCGGAGGACCGCCCCTTGTTGAGGGTGTTGTCAGGAGCGCCGCCAGGGGGTGCCGACCCAAGAGATCCGCAAGAACCTCCGAAAGGTCACGCTTATGCAGTTTCTTTTTTGTCGATGAGTGCTGAACTCCGCCTCGTGATCACCTGCATTTTCATTCGCACTTCATTACACTGTCACGTTTCAATCTGCGGCCCCAGAGACCACTCCCCAGGGCATTGCTTCGCTCTATCTAGACCCACTTTTTGATGGCAGCGGGGCCCGACCGGTCCTCCTCCGGCCGAAACTGACGAAAACCGCCAAGAACAGACAAAACAGAGCGTCGGAGAGCGGGGTTGCAGTCATTTGTACGGCGGACTAGGCGCGCGGCGTCTGCCATCTCGATGATGGAACGATCCTCAAGCAACCTCCTGCGACTGCATTTGGACGGACGGAAAGATACCAATAACGTTACCTGTCGTACCTCTCCAGGGCGTTCTGACCAGAATTTTAAGGATAACCCAGCCGTGTCGACGCCTCTCAGGAGGCCCCAAAAAGGCGAACACGAGGCAAGGGTGGCGGTATAGGTATCATACCTGTTCCTCTCCTGACCTCTACGGCAGACTGGGCGCCCGGCGTCTGTCGTCTCGATGATGTGGTGGAAGCTGCGCTGGTCGTTCTCGGCCTTCTGGCTTAGCGCGTCGATGGCGCCCTGCAGCCGCCGGTCGCGCGTGTGCAGGCAGCGCTCCAGGTCGTTCAGGCGCCTCCATCCTCCCTGCTCCAGGCCCCTCCCAGGCGGCCTTCCTCGAGGTTCGGGAGGGAGGATCGAGGATGAGGAGGATCGAGGAGAAGGAGGATAAAATGTGGATGAGGAGGAGGAGGAGGAGGAGGAAGACGTCCAAGGGGGCTTTGAGTCAGAACGCAAGTCTACACCGCTTTTCGCTGCTTACCCTCTCTCTGTCACCCAAAGTCTCTGATGGTGTGGTGGCAGCAAGGTTCTTCTCAGCAGTCCTCCGCCACCTCTCCGCCATCTCTGTGGTGGCACCACGCTGCCGAAGCCACTCTTCGCCATCCCGACGAACTGCAAGACAGTTGTGTGGAAGGTGTGGGCCTGACTACTTGAACACAACATGGGCACACTGGGAGTGCGGCGTGACATCACTATGCTTGGTCTTCTTTACAAGACTTTCATGGGAAAGAACAACCATCGTTGGCCTCTCTACTTGAACTGTTCAGAAGCCAACTTGCAAGATACGGATTGTCATTGGATTCGCTTCTGCACATCAAGGCGCTGCACGAACCTCTCCAACTCGGCCATCCTCGAATGCTCCACCGGTCAATGTATAAATTGATTCCTGCTTTCTATAGTTTACCGCTTGCCTGACATGGTGGTGCGTGCCAGGTCTGTCCACAACTTCCAACGTTCGCTTCAACTTCTTGCAACGGATGCTGCCGTACCTGGTAGCCATGAGTGGTTTCGAATGTTCCGTCCAGCTCACGCCGCCGAGCGAACTCACGCATTGTGCGTTGATTGATTAATTGATGTTTTGTCGTAGAAAAAAGCAGCGGTGGCAACAAGAGCAGCGGTGGCAGTGCCGCACAGAAGGCTGCCACGCGTGGACCCCTAATTACGTCGGCAAAGAAGTGCTGTGGGTGTGGTCTGAAGAAGGGCTGGGCCCAGGTGAAGTCGCCCCAGGCCGAGCCGACCCCTCGTTGGAAGTCCAAGGCTGCGCCTCTCGACGAGGCTGTGGGCACTACGTCAACCTACTTGCTGGAGTCGGCAGCCCAGGAGGAGCAGGCCAGCATCGACAAGAGCGAACAGATCCACTCGCTCGAGAATGCTCTCGAAGCCCTGCCGCCTGGTCCAGATTTCCAGGGCAACCGCGATATGATTCAGAATCAGAGTGCATCTGCCAAGAAGAGCATCACGATACCCGAGCCGCTCAGCAACCAGTTGGTTTCGCGCCGTGCTGCACTTGAGGGCGCAGAAGAGGCAAGCCACCTGTCACGCTGCTCTCGGCGAGGCCACCACGAGTTTCGAGCAGTCCAAGGCCGACGCTGCGACGCGCGAGAAGGAGTTGAAAGAGCTCGAGGAGAAAGCGCTGCAGATCCAGCCGCCCAACAGCTTGGAGGCTTCAACTCAGATTCTTGCGGAAATGCTCTCCGACATGAAGATGCCCGCCGTCATCCCGCAGGCCACGTAGGCGACTGCGGAGCAAGAGATCATGCGCCTCCTCACAGGTCTACAAAATACCTCGAGGGAGGCCACGGCGCAAGCGACGGCTGTAGGCGCCGACTGCGACCTCGACGACGCGGCCACGGGCGGCGAGCCAAATACCGAGGCACAGGCGGTGGCGCGCAGGCGCTTGCGCGGCAAGAAAGGGCCACCAGATGCCGCTGGAGCAGCAACAGCGGCTTCAACGTCAGGACCCACGGCGGCCACAACTTTTCCTCCAGTGGTGGCCGGGGCGGGGGGCGAGCTGGACGTCTCCGAGGCCGATGCGGCGGCGGCCAGACCTTTGAGGGTGCTGTAGATAGCGGGTGGGAATGCTCGCACACTGTATCCCACGAAAAAGCTTGCAAAAATTACGCTCGCATGGTGGGTGCCACGCTGATGTCGAACGTTGCTTCACTTGAAGCGCAAGTGCACCATGCAGAAACTCAGATCATCGGCATTCAAAAGGGACGAAGCCAAAATAAACAAGTTCGCTAAGGCATATTCTTCAATATGTACTGTGCGGCTGCCGACGCCAAAGGATGCTATGGGACTAAGTTGTGGGTGCGCTACGGATTAGAATTTCGTGCAGACGCTTGGGGGGCTCTGCATTGGTGGTTGCCGCGGGTTCGACTTCTTTTCCTGGCCTGGCCCTGTGCCTCACGACTCGTTTCCTGAAGCGGGTCGGCCTTTCTGAGGATATGGACCTGCAAAGACATCATCGTGTCTTGGTTAACAATGCTGCTCGCGGATTCTGGTACGAAAGGGGGCCAGTAGTCCGGATGCACGTTAATGTATTTAAACAATCATCCGTCGACAGTGCGATGCCGACAGTTGCGCTTTTTGGTTAGCTACGTGCGGGCTTTTCGGTCTGAATTCGATTGCAAAAGGGTTGAGTTCGTGATTGGGGGAGATCGGAGCAGTGTTGTTGCGACAGAACAGCATTCCACCTCTTCAGGAGGATCGTGGCATCCAAGTGCTGGAGTGTTACAGGCATGGCAAGACTTGTTGCGCGTCTTAGGGGCTTCGGAAGCAGGGGAGCTGGAGGAGCGCACGTTTCGGAGAACCGGTCGTGACAGGGAGGGCGGCACATGGTGGGTCAGTGAGACGCTCGACTTTGCTCGAGTGGGGGCTGATCTCCTTAGGCACGCCCATCGTCAGCAGGCTGTTGCTGTACTGCGTGGCATTCCGCATCCGAATACATCTGGTCACACGCCTGCATCTGTCATTTACCGGAGAAAGCCGAGGAGAAAACCCAAGACACTTACGCAGGTCAGTGTAATGAAGCCTATGCTAGATTGGTTGATGTACGACACTTTTTCCTTGCGAGATTTCGCGTCGAAGGTTGAGGAGTGGGCTGGCTCGAGAAGCGAGGGTTTAATGGGGTTGTGTGAATTTCGAGACTTCGCTCAGCAATGCGCCAAAGACTATATGACACACGTTGTTGGCACAGCACAGCTCGCAACGCATCGTGTTGATGTTACTCTCTCCATGTACATCGCTGCCGTGGGGAATCAGGAGGTAGACCCACTTCGCTTCTCGCAGTGGTTGAGAATATATCCCCATTCAGGCAGCATTGCTGAACCAGAAGTTGATACATTAAGAGATTGCATACGCATCACGGGCGTTGGACATTTGCTTGGTCACTTGTCAAACCCGCCCGAAAAAGCATATGAGGAAGCCGTTGTCGTCGTTGTAGTACGCTGTCTAATGGAGCTGCGTTTCTTCAACGCAGATAATTGATGCACTTCTGTCGCGCATCATTTTGGTGAGCTCTACGAATTTGATAGAAGTATCGCCCCGAAGCCTTCGACGTTCCACGTCCCGAACACCTGCGAAGATAGTGGGGTGCAACTTCGGCGTGGTCTGAACCAGGCGGCAGTAGCCCGGGCAGATTGCGATAATCTCGGCGGCAGCTTCGGATGTCCATGGCCCTGCATATCCAAATTTGTATGTTGATGTCGTTCGTCCTTCGCTGAATTGGGCGTGTGATCAATGTCTAAACCTTGCAAATCAAAATGCGAATGTGAAGAAATACCAAACGAGTTATACAGTTTGCTGTATTGTCGGGGAGCTCTGGGTGAAACGTTCTCAATCTGCATGCTCGGCATCCCCGCAATGCCTGCGGAGTGAAGTGGAAGATCATGGGTATCAAGGGGTCGAGGAACTTGTGGGGAGAGATGTGGCCAGATGGTATATTTGTCCATTCCCGCCGTTGACTTCGGCGGAGATTGTCTGTCGGCTCCGACGCCGGCTCGTTCATGGATTCCGTGATGTTCTTGCCCACGGGCGTGGTCAGGTGAGGGGTGAGGGTGTGGGGGACAAGGAGGGAGCTCCGGAACAAGGTACTGGAAGATGTGGTGGAGAAGGTACAGCAACAGACGGCCACTGCAAGACGGTAGCTCTGCGCGGGTTCATGCGTGCGGTCGTGCTGCCCAGCATGTCCTGTACGAGGGTAGCTTTGCCCAACATCGTACTCATACTAACTCCTATGCACATGTCTGTGTCTAGGCCGGCTCTGGAGTCCGGCCGCAATCCCTACTTTCCCGCCGGAACCTTTGGATCGGCCTTGACCTTTCATGCCCTTGGACGCTTTGCTCAGGAGCGACTCGCACTTCTCCGTGAGGTAATTCAACTTTGGATGCTGTTGGAGTTCCTGTCATTCTTTCCATTTCTGCGTCCACTCTTGCTTAAGACATCTCCTCCCCCTCCTTCCGAAACGGTCAAGGCAAATTCCCCACCCACGTGCACCTGATATGGGAACGTGTCATTGATCCTCACGGTGTACTCGATGTTCATGTGCTGCTGCAGCATCTATTTGAGGCCGAAACACAGATTCCGCGCAGCCCTTTCCACAGGGTGTCTGTCAGGAGTTCCCCACACGTCATTCACATGTCGGGACAACTTGGCACTCTTGATCATGGCCACGTCATTCCCATGTAGGGACAACTTGACACTCCTCGTAGGCTCCAAGTTACTGATGACGCCGTCCACGTGGCTGGGCATGATACCCGTAGCGTGACGGGCCGCACGGGCTGATATATGTATGATCAAATCTCTGTTACTCGTTTGATGTAGTTCGTTCGTCCTGGGTCGCCCCCGCTTCGCCTCCCATCCTGGGCTTTCTTCCTCGGGGCCTCTGGTCGCGGTCGCGATGCTTCGGCTGGGCCTGGTGCGCCCTGGGGCCTGTGCTCGAGCGCGCTCGCGTCGCCCTATTATTGCTGCTCTCATCCGCCCCGAGTTCGACTCGGCGCGCAGCTCCATGGGCTCGCGAATACTCCTCCTTTTCCCTTACAGAAGAATGCTCACTTCTTCGTCATTTTATAACTGTTCATTCGAGAACGACCACTGACCACGAATGGCCAATACGCTGCAAGGCGCTCAGCTACACCGCCGGATGTGTACGATTGTAGTTTGTTCCAGCATCTTGCCAACGCATCTCTGACATGCACGGCTCCCTCTTTCTATCTCTCTCTCTCTCTCTCGCACCTTTCCCCCCATCCCCACCTCAGCCTCCTCGCTTCTCCCAGTACTCTCCCCCTTCTCCTCCTAGGCTCCTCCTCCCTCCCTCCTTCACTGTCACTCCCCCCTCATCGACACTACCACTCCTTCTCCACCGCCACCACCACAGACTTCTCCCCCCTTCCTCCTCCTCCTCCTCCTCCTGCTGCCTCTTCGTCGCCGTCTCCCCCTCACCCCCCCTCTCTCTCCCTCGTCTTCCTCGTCCTATCCATCTGATCCTGCTCAGTCTCTCTTCGCAACTCCCCTTCCCGACTCCTCACCCTGATCTCCTTCCATTCCGCCCACTCTGATCCCTCATCCTCTCCCTCCCCCATCGCACTAGCATGCTAACATGCAAGTAGACGAACTCCCGGGTTTAAGGGCTGCAGAAGCTCAGCTGCCTTACGCCCAGATTGCACGTATTCAACTGGTAAATGCGGCGGCGTTCAAGGTCAGACGGCACATGGCCGCTGTGTTGCTGGATTCCGCTAGTTTTCGGGTTCCGCCACTTCCAACACCGAAGGTAGTGAGGCCCAGGGTCCCCGCAGAGATCGGAAAAACTCTTACATTGAACCAAACTCTGACGGAATCGGAGCATCGTATTCCCAACCCACACAAACCGTGTTGGTAATGTTCTCAGTGCGACGGGACGGAAGCACTGGAAAGATCGTTGCGGTTGGTTTCTCTGGACTCCCTGCCCTGGGAGTTCAGCTTTCGCCCCCCCCCCGCGTCTTTCTTTGGGGGCGAAATGCAGAGGGGAGTGGTCGGAGCTAAGGTCTGCGGTGCTTGTGTACAACACTCAGTAGTTAGAAGTGTCACCGCAGGGCTCGGCAGCCCCTGTAAAATGGCCCTCGGTGAAACGATCACTTCGCGGGGACGCTACAGTACCTCCGCTTTCTTGATGGGACAGATGCCCCAGCACAGAGCGAGATTGGCTGAGGGAAGGGTCAGTGCGAAGCGCACTCTCTGACTGCTCTCCGTTTTCAGGCCCTCGCCAGCCTAAGGTTGGTGTCGGAGCCTCCTCTCTCCTCTCCCAGCGCCCGCGCGCTCCTCCAGGGGGGGGGGTAACAAAAACATCACCTTCCCCATCCCTCTGGCCTCCCTCGCCTCCCTCTCCTCCTCCTGCTTTCCGTCTCCCCATCTCCGCCCGCTCCTCCCTCCCCCTCTCCCCCCCGCCCCTCCCCCTGTCTCGTCCATGTCCTTCCCATCCTCCTATGAATATACCTCCTTCTCCCATTCGCTTCCTGATGCTCCACCCCCTCCCCCTGACGTCTCTCTCTCGCTCTCCTTCTCTCTCTCTATCACTCTCTCTCTCTCTCTCTCTCTCTCTGTAAATCTCCCCCTCCTCCTCCTCTTCCTCCTCCTCCTCCTCCTCCTCCTCTTCCTCTCTTCTCTCCTCTCTCCTCTCTCCTCCTCATCCTCCTCCTCGCTATCGTATCCTCCTCCTCCTCGAAGCCATCGTCGGTATCGGCATCGTTACTGTCGTCGTCCTCCTCCTCGTTCTCCTCCACGTCTTCTTGGCGTCAGCATCGCCGAGGCGCCTTCCAGCTATGCAGAGCTGGCCTCTGAGCTTGTCTTGCCTGCACCTCCAGCTGGCCTTCAGGTCGGGGACGGGCAGAATGAGATGGGGGCGGAGGAGGAGGGGCACACCCCCGAGCTGAAATACTCGCCCCCCTCCCCCCCAATCCCCTCCTGCCCCCACCGCGTGGGCCATCCGCCCTCGCGCTGGCAAATGACAACGACGACGCGCCGACGACGGCGCGAGAGTCGTCGTCGTCGTCGTCATCGACGTCGTCATCGTCGTCGTCGTCGTCTGTCGTCGCTTGCCGGCGCGAAGGAGCCTCCTTGAGGTGGGGGGGGAGGGGGAGGGGGAGTTTCGTCCACTTCCCCTCCCTGGAGTTGGGGAGCGGAGGGGGGAGTTGGGTTTCCCACCTCCTGGAGGTGGAAGGAGCGGAGGGGGAGTTTCGTCACCCTTCCCTCTGTACGGGCGGGGGGTCCTAACCCCCGCTCCACTCTTCAAGCGAGAGGAGGACGCCCTCTTCACGGACAGCACAACAGCGTGGCCCACACAGCAGGCCAGCCAGCGCAACCCCCGAAACGGGGCATGGTGCCTGCTGTAGGTCCGAAATGCGAGACGCGCGATGTCTCAGCACTCGCGCGCCCTCGCGCCGTCCCCTTGAAGAAGGGTCGCCGCTCCTGCCCAGACCGCGACGCGCGAGGCCCGATTTCCTGCGCGCCCCCCCCCCCCGCGGATGACCTAGGTCTCCAGTCCCCGCAAGCTTCTGGATGCCCGAAAGCTGTCAGATACGAGGAAGAACTTCGATGCTCGACGGAGAGGGAGGAGTGGGAAGAGGATGGCGGTGGCAGAGGAGGGAGGCCCTGGAGGAGGAGGAGGAGGAGGAGGAGGAGGAGGAGGAGGAGGAGGGAGAGGGCTCCGTCTGGGGGGACGCCGGACACGCAAATTGTGCCCTCGCTACAGGGAAGGGGGAAAAGGCCGGGTCAGACGAGTTGAGGATG